AAAAAAAAAAAAAAAAAAAAAAAAAAAAAGCCACAGCAGCAAGCAGCAGCAATGGTGGAGCACCTGCGGCATCCCCAAGCATGATCTCTCTCCAGTTCTCTCCAAATTCCCATTTACCGGGGTGGGGATTAACACCCTAAAGAAGATTCGTAAGAAAACATGCGTGAATGTGATACAAAATTAACCTAATTTATGTAGTTTCAGGTGCCGCTGGTAGTGTTCCACAGTATGTCTGGAAGATAATTTAATTCCCCACTAACAAGCTTAGTGGTTCAGAAACAGACAATGCCCATGCAACTAAGGCCGTGCTAACGACCGGCCACTCCCAGGAAGGGTCTGTAGGAATTCTTTGACTCTTCTTGCAGCTTCCTTGTCCGTTTGATTTTTTTCCAAAATATAAATTTCCAAAATAAATATTTATATGGTTTCCAGATTTGCAGTCCTTCCATAATACTAAAATGCACGCTCTTGTCTAGAGAAACATCCCTGATGATCTTAGGATACGCTGAGGCCTGCGTCAGCGGTGAGGCCCATGAACGGTGGCAGCAGGGGGTGCTGTCCTGCTGTGCGTTCCCTCCATCGGCGTGCCGATGCCCCTTCCCTCCCTGCCTTTGCCATCTCTGGGTATTGGCCAGCGTATTTGTCTTCTATTGCTTCTATAACAAACTTAGTGGTTTAGAACAACACAGATTTATCTTGCAGTTCTGCAGATCGGAAGTCCTAAAATCCAGGTATTAGTAGGGCTGTGCTCCTTCCTGGAGCACTTGGGAGGATTTACTTCCCTGCCTTTTCCAGCTTCTGGAGGCCATCCCCATGCCTTGGTTCGTGGCCCCTTCCTCTGTCTTCAAAGCCAGCAGAGTGGCAGCTTCCAATCTCTGTCTCTCTCTGACTTCTGCCTCTGCTCTCTCATCTCCCTCTCTGACTCTGACCCTCTTATCTCCTTCTTAGGAGGACCCTTGGGATTCCATTGGGTCCACCCAGAACAATACAGGATTATCTCCCCATCTGCAGATCCTTAATTTAATACCCCTCTGCAGAGCTCTCTTTGCCACGTCAGGGAGCATACTCACAGGTGCCAGTGATTGGACATCTTTTTGGGAGGTTTTATTCTGCCTACCGCGGCCAGCCATTTGAATCTTTGCCAATTTGTTAGGTGACAAAAGATGTATTTATTTTTAATTGTGGTCTTTTGATTGTCAGTGAGGTTGGTAACGTTGAGCACATTTTCAGAAGATAATAGGTCATGTGTATTTTATCTTTGTGAACTACCTCTTTATGGCCTTGGCGCAGTAACTGTTTTTCCCTTTGCCCATTTTCCAATTAAGCTATTTTTTGTCCTAATTGGTTTGTCAGTGCTCTTTGCATATTAGGGTTGTTTACATTGTTCCGTTAATTTTTCTTTAGCGTATATTCTATATTTTAGCTCTGTTTCAAGTCACGTTACAATTTTGTAGTTGTAGCAGTTGTTTGGAAAGAGAACAGTGACTCATCATGGCATTTTAGTTCTCAGGAATGTCACGCGGAATTGTGGAATGTCGTGGTCACCAAGAAGGTCATATGAAGATGTTGGTTTTTTTATGAGGCCATGGAGCGCTTGGCCTTCTGGTTTCCTCACCTCGTCTCTCCTCACCATGTGACAGCACAGTCTTACATTCCTCGTCTGACAGGGAGTTGGGCACTTACAGGTCCTTAATTAACCATCAGATGTGGGCACCATTTTACAGACTTACTCAAACTGTATCTTTTTTTTTTTTTTTTTGAGACGGAGTTTCACTCATGTTACCCAGGCTGGAGTGCAATGGCGCGATCTCGGCTCACCGCAACCTCCGCCTCCTGGGTTCAGGCAATTCTCCTGCCTCAGCCTCCTGAGTAGCTGGGATTACAGGCACGTGCCACCATGCCCAGCTAATTTTTTGTATTTTTAGTAGAGACGGGGTTTCACCATGTTGACCAGGATGGTCTCGATCTTTTGACCTCGTGATCCACCCGCCTCGGCCTCCCAAAGTGCTGGGATTACAGGCTTGAGCCACCGCGCCCAGCTCAAACTGTATCTTTTGAGTAAATGGGACCTGTTGTTAGTTCCTCTTCGAGAGACAGAAATGAATTTGCTTGAATCAAAGCACATAAACTTTGTACACAGCCGGCTTAATTCATCCACCACCAAAAGCAAACCCAAGGAGTCCTTTCAAAGGTGGTCCAAGTGCAGAGTCGTTTTTGTGTTTGCTTTTGTATTTGGGGAATGCAAAGGAGGCTGGCGGCACAATTCCCAATTTTCACTAAAGTTAGTGAGACCCAGATTGCTTCGATCTTCAGTGTTTCATGCTAAATTTTTTCTTCCACAGCTTTTTGTTGATTTAGACGATGTCCCTCTATACTTTCGCTCTTCCTACAAAATTAAAGACACAACAACAGCCAATATCATATCGCCCTAACAGGAGCAATAAATCCTGTCATTTCGCCAATCCTGATCTTGCAGGGATAACAAAGCGTGCATTTACATCCGTAACCACTAACAGGGTCTCATTAGTGGGCTGTGGAGGAGCTGCCGAGAGAACCAAAGCGCTCGGCTCCCGGAGCAGAAGCGCCGGAACCACCCAGGTCTGGCAGGGGCCCACTTCACCGCTGGCTGAAACAGGAAGAAAATTTAAATGATTCTCGACAGAATTTGGTTTGGAAGGGAAGGTCAGGCTGAACACGGAAACTGCCTAGCCGACCACAACCTGCTTATTTATGAATAAGTGCAGCCGGCTGAGGCCCCCTCCTTCCCGATTTGAGCGTTGGTGACATCCGTGACTCAGGGATCCCCTAGCCTGCAGGTGGACCCCACGGTTTGGGCTTGAGGGGTGGTGATTAACTACATCCCTTCTCCACACCCTGAGTTCTGAACCCATTAGGAGACAGACCCCAGAGTTTGCTGAGAGCATAGAATGGAGAATTCGACTGAGAACCCAGGTCACAGTTGGGCTTAACATGTCCCTCTGAGGCCAGGCCTGGAGACCAGCCACCCAATGTATGGCCATACCCCAATGGTGGGAACAGGGAGATGGGCCCCACGCCTGCCCCAGGAAGAGCCCTGACTGAGTGGAGGCAGACATGGAAGGGAATCCCTC